AAACTAATATTAATACTTTTATTAGACACTAATATTGCACTATACCAAAGAGCTTCTGCTATTTTAGCCTTTTGTAAAGACAAAACAGGCAGTGTTAAAAATTCTTCAAGCAATTTGTCAACTTTGGGTATTAATTGAGCTGACGCTATTATATAAGTAGGTTTAGCATAAGCTATAAACCAATTATTATAGTGAATATATATTAATTCTCAAGCAAGCTAAGGTCTAAAACACTAACAAGTTTAAATAAACTAGTTTTACTTGATATATCAGATTTAATAATCACATTAACTCCTTCTACTCTTTGCATAGACTAAACTCCAGCAGTAAACCTATTTGAAGTCCAAGCCAATACCCATCATTCTTTTGTATTGTAGAGTATTCATTCAAGATAAGATTTTGTTGTTGGATATTTACTAATAAGTAATCCCTATTCAGATTCAAAATCTTGTTTTAACAACCTATTTTATATTTTATACCAGTCTTTTATAAACCTATCCCAATCTGACCTGAGTTTACTTTTCAGATTTTTTGGAAGATTCTGACTAATATGATATATATAGTTCATTCAATATATTTCAAATATTATGTTTTCAATAGCAGCTTTATTTGCAAGATCCGAATCAATAATAAGAACATGTGGTTAATAGCCAGTAGATTCCAAAAGCTTAAAAAGAACTCATTCAAAGCTTATAGTAGTTTCGTCATTTATCAATACTTGAGCAATAAGACAACTTTGGTTATAATTATCTATACCTACAAAAAGACTAAGCACCATATTAAACTAATTTGTACTATATGTATTATCATTTATAATAACATAATGATAGTGAATCCATATTTCAACTTGGCTAGGCTCCATTTAGAAAAGTAATTCTAATAAATTAGAAATAGGATCCAATTGCTAATAAACAACCCAACTTGGGTCTTGTACTTGTTATTAAGAAGTATTTCCAGAAGAGCAGAGGTTTTATTAACAACTTTATTATGATTTTTAAAAGATTGTATTGTAGATGACAAGTCTTTTGGCAAAAAAATAACATCAGAATACTTGTCCTCAAGTAAAGAAAGCTAAGTTCACATATTTAATCCCTTTAAAGTATAATATTTAATCTTTTGGTTTACTTTGTCAGGAAATTGCCAATAGTAAGAAGCAAAATTAATAGTATCAGGATAAATTTCATAATTGGAATATTCGAGATAACAAGAATTAATTTTGATTTTTTTATTTATTTTTGGACAAGTTGTATTGACTATTTATTTGTATTCTAACTATTTTGTATATAATTCTTTTTGATTTTTTAGAATAGCTATCTTCTTTGAATGTCTTATATCTTGGTGTTCACAAGCATATCTACACATTCTACAAGTAATATCATTATATTCAGAACAAGTAATAATTGATACAAAGCCATTTTGCTTTGCATATATTTTAATATGATGATCAAGCTGTTTCCAAGTTTGAAATATTGAGCCAGAAACAATTTCAAGCTTTTCTTGATCTTTAACTTCAATTTTTTGATGTTCATTTATATTAGATATATTATAATTAATGAATTTATTTTCTACATCATTAGAATTTAACATATCAGGTTTAGATGAAGCACATCTTTGTAGTATAGAGCATATAAAAAAAACTTGTGAACTAGAAGCTGGTAATATCTCATAGGCTGTAAACTTTGTTCAATAAAGTATACAGAAGGAACTTCTAAACTAAAAACTAGTAATATTTCATTACTCAATATAAGCTGTGAATTTTGTTCATCAGAAAGAACTTGTAAGCTAAAAGTCAATAATAATTTATTATTCAGCATGGGCTGTGAACTTTGTTTAATAAAATATACAGAAAAAACTTGCAAACTAGAAGTTGCTAATATCTCATAACTTAATGTATGCTTTGAATTTTGTTAAATCAGGCATATGAAAGGAGAGTAGTAGGATAGTGGGCTTTTTAGATACACAGTTGTGTTTTTTTTCGATAACACTATTCATTCTTGTTTTTTTTTTAAGTTTTTATCATATTCTTGATAACATATATAACTTATATATATTATATAAAAAACTTTCATGAATGGTGTATTTTTATATATACTTCATGCTTGGTGTACTTTTTTGATATCTATTTCGATTACTATTTAGCTTTCTATTACTAAGGAGTACACTCCCCTAAGGGTGTACGATGCAGTTGCGGAGTGAAGCAGAGCATAGTTATCATATTTGATTTCTATTTAGTTTTTTGTACTGGAGGAGTATAGCGACTCTGAATGCGAAGTATAGCATAGCATTAGTTATCTGTTTAATTCACAATTAGTTTTTTAACACTAAGAAGTATACACCTTAGGTGTGAGCAATATAGTTGCGAAGCGAAGCGGAGCATAGTAATCTTTTAGTTATCAATTAGATTTCTATAGTAAAAAAGATAGTTAAATTTTATTGTCTTGCAGGCCCGAAGGATGACTTGAAGAGTCATGGGTGGTCTTCAAGCATTTGAAGTTGTTGAGTATAAAATTGCATGACATAATATCCTTTAGAATGTTTTTTACAACATCCACAAGCAGAAGCTATAGGTTTTCCACAATCATTACATAAAACACGTTTTTTAGATCTTCAATATTCATGGCACCCTTCAGGATGTTGACACCTATGTCCGCAGACTTCTCCAGAATTGTGTATATATTCACATGTATATTTACCTCCTGACTTTTCGATATATTTACCTCCCTCGATATATTCACTAAACATTTCAATAAATGAATAATTATTTTTTATTTAAACA